GTTTGTTTGTGAATAATAGTAAAAGACTATATAGTTGCAGTATACGGTTTAACTATACATTTTATATTATGTCTAATGGTCAATCCTTACATATTTTTTCTTTCTTCCTTCCTACCTTTCCATGAACTGACGGTACCTCTGATGTAATCAGGGTAGACATAATGAACATCTAAATGTGCCCTCCACATTTATGTAGAGTATACCCATTGACATTGTGACATGTCCATTATACCCTGGCACAAGCATTTGATCTGTCATGCTCAAGCTTTTATTATTTTGTTTAGGTTTACATTGATGATTAATTAAATTATTACTTAATATTATATTTATGACATTGAAAATTAATATACTTCATTCAAATGAGTTTCTTTCTATTCAATTAATATTTCAATATCTGCTTGTTTGTTCTTATATGAATACTGTCTGCATATTGTAATAATTATGTGTTATTACTTTTTTGAGAAAATATATGGGCCGTTTGGGAATGTATGACCGTCTGTAAACAGCTGGCTGTACATTATTATGCTAAATCACACTATATATCCTACATTTAAGTGAACTAAATGCTTACTAGCATTCAAAATAATATTGAAAAAATATTAAATGGATATATATTTTAATTTATATGTTTTGACACGACTTACGTCGCAAAAATGTGGTCGACACTGATTTTGAGGGTAGAGACCCGTGGGCCGTTTATTAAATGAGCGACAACACATTATTTTAATAAAAATAAAACGAACCGAAAAGATAAACACAATAATAATAATTTTCGCATAATATCGCAGCACTTTCGTTGGCGTCGACGACGCGATGTCCGGCGTGATTCTTGGGCGACAAAAGGTTGGCAGCGTTGTAGGCGATGGTGCGGATCGGTTGGTCGACGTTGTCGCTTTCACAACGGGGTGAAGACTGCCGCACCATTTGCGGCGGGACGTCGTCGGCCGTGCGGCATTTGCTGGACTTTGCAATCGTAGCGTATAATACGCGGTGTTGGTCAGTCAAATACTCATAAAATAGGGCGACGCAGGGGCGGACTTAGGTATGTGGTGGCCCCTGGGCGAAATGCATTGTGGGGACCCCTTACACATAGACAAGGAAATATATTTTTTTACTAATTAAATAACAATTATCATATTTGTGATGCCAATGTACACCAAATTTGTGGGGGCCTCTAGGCAGCAGCCCATTCCAGTCCTAAATCCGGCCCTGGGGCGACGGCTGATAAAGGTGGCACGAGTCGCGGGGCATCGTGTATAACGAAGCGACGCGGGCCGTGTCAGTTTATTTTTATGAGTTATGTAGTCATCTTTATTATTTTAAACATTCTCTAAATATTCCCTATTGAATCATTGATCATAACTCAATTATTAATACTGTTTTATATATTTAACATTTATTTTTGATGTCTTTATTATACATATATTTTCCTTCTGTGAATTTGATTTGATTTTATTTTACTGAGTAATTCGGTTTCATTGACCATTTTAGCTTCGATGCGAAGCTAAGAAAGTATTGGTTTTACTATGATGTTTTTTTTTTGTGTCTGTTAATACTTTTTCTCAGCTCTCGCCCAACCGATTTATTTCAACGATACGTCAAAAGATCACAAATCGTATCTAGTCAAAGACATTAGACTCAAAAACTGAAAAAATTCCCCTCGTTCCCCGTAAATGGGGGAAACCTCCAAAAAAATTACAAATTTAAAAATCGCTAATTCTCAAAATTTTTTCAATTTTTTTTATTTAAAACTACCATAACTTTTTAAAAAATCAACAAATCAATATAATTTTCTTTTATAGATGTTTGATGTCTTTACCTATTATTTGATATATTTTTTTTATAAATTTGACCCTTCACCTGTCCACAGAGGGGGATTTAAAATGACAACTTTTTCAACTTAACTTTTGAAAGTGTTCAAGAAAGTCTGACACTTATATACATATATTAAATTAAAGCTAATGTAATGTACTTTGCTATGGAAAAAAAAAATTTCGGACTTTTGTCTTCACGGTGAAAATGGCTACCGAATGCTATTTTTGTGTGAAAATTTTCGATTTTGTATTTTACATTTTTAACTTTATAATGCTATAACTTATTGAAAAGTGTATGGATCAACTTAATTTTTTTATGAGAAATAATATTTTTTAATAATCCCTTTTTCATTTGACATACTTTATCTTAATCAGGATATCAATAAGGAACTATCAGATCATGTAGCATTTGGAATAATCCACCAATTTTTTAAAATTAAACGCTTGTTTAAAAAAGATTTGCATTGAAGCGTTCTTTATGATAGTGATTTTAATAACTGTCAGATATCATTATACTTGATCCAACTATGCCACGTCACCACTGTGCCGCGACCCCACTGTGCTGGGTGGTTTTTTAAGTCCATATACATAGTTTATGTTTGGACAATGTTTTGTGTGTTGCATCACAGTAATTGTGATGTGCACATATTTATATAAATAAATACACAAATCTTATCAAAAGTATTTTGTTTATTTAAAATGGTTGCTTATAGATTTTATTACAATAATTATTAAGGTTTTTTTGCATACATGTAGTATTAAATAATATTTCAAGGGTATTATTAAGTAATTTTTGAATACTTATTTTTTTTTTTTACAGTCATATAATATGACATCAGAATCCAATGGTATTATGTAATAGGGATATGTTTTTATTATCTGTATTTTTTCGGGTACTATTATTATAATGTATTTATAATATAACATGTAGAGTATAATTAATTAATTGGAGTTAGATATAAATATGAAATTCAATTATACACATTATAGCCTATAACTTCACAACGCAATTTTATTAATATTTTTGGTACCAACGATAGCGTTAAAATTTAACTGTTATTATATTATTGCGATGGCCTCAGAACCTAATGTAAATTGTGTACTTATTACATTTTACTATTGATAATTATTTAACTTTACTCACTTCAATAATTAAATGTTTACTACATTTTTGTTATACTGATTTTGAAGTAATACTATTCGTGTACTTTTACCGAAATTTACCCATAAGGATGGCCCGTAGGACCCCAAGGTCTGGAATGGATCCTCTGCTAAGTAGAACCTAATATCAATATAGTGAAAGCTAAAATATTAACATTATTTGTTTTATATGAGCTGTAATTTTTCGAAACATTTCCCTTTATTACGGGGATTGAGGGGATTTTTGAAATTTATGGTACTGATTGCTTCAAATAGATACGTTTTGTGATGCATTGACGTACTATTGAGTAAATAAGTTTTTCTCGATTTGTCTGACAAAAGCCATAGCTTTTAGTAAGGATAATAAACATAATTAAATAATAATAATATTATTCAAACAACATTCCTAATACGTTTTTTGTTGTATATCAATAAAATAAATGTTTAAAAAAAAACAATGTTTTATTAATTTGTTAAAGTTAATAGTAATAAATAAGTTAATAGTCAAAAGTACATACCTAAAAACAATTCATTTCAATATTAAAATATTTATTTATTAATAATTCCTTTATAATAAAATTAGTTTTTATGAAAGAATAACACTTTTTTACTGTTAATGAATTAATTAAAACTTTTTTTTTGAATTTGTACATAAATTTATGTTAATTTACATGATGTATCAAATAAAATGTAATGATTCAATCTGTATTGCAGTTAGGCTTGTTATACGCTATAAAAAAAATACAAATTAAAAACAATTAAACACACATTTACTGAAGTAATTTAATTTGTGTTTATCTCAATGAATATTTATACTCATTTTTACAATGTTTATACTCATATAGTTTCAAAAATTTGCCTATGGAAATTTTAATTCCATACAATTTTTTTAAATCTCGATAATTAACCTAAATATTAGCTTTTAAACTAGATTCAAAGTCAACTACATTTCCCTCTAAAAATGAGTTTCATTTATGGTGCTGCGTAGATTATGATAAGTTTGATTATGCGGGTATAATCATTTTAATAAAAAAATGATGGAGAAAATTAAATTATTAATAATTCTAACAAAAAGGAAATTTATAATAGTAAGATTATTTAGTAGTATGATATAACTATTTTTTAGTTAAATTGTGTAATGAAACTATTTATTGTTCTAACAATGCAATTGTTAGAAATTAAAAGATTAAATGTAATCTTGAAGGTGGTAGAATAATTTAATATTATTACCAAACGTATCATTAGTCAGTTCCTTAGTATAAAATATATAGGAAATAATAATAATACTAACTTAAGTTTATCACATTGACAAAGTACGCATTTTGGATTAGCTTCCATTGCATTTTTTTTGCATACCGAGCAAAACAAGTGTACGTTACAATATGTGCTGTCTATTTCCCCCCTACTAAATTGACATGAATTGCATACTTTGGGTTTCTTTCCATTTTCTATAATAAAATGTTATTTATATTTTTATCAATTTTTTTTGTGATAAAATAATTATTTTCTTTTATTGAATCATAAATACTATAAAAATTAATTTCATGAAATAATATCATTATTGAGAATATAAATTCCAAATAATGTTATTTGGCAAATTACTTTATTTTCAATTATTTTATTAGATTTATTAGAAATCATATAACGAACTGAAATAATAGAGTAAAGTGGGTTATTTTTATATGAATGTAGTAATTGTAAGTATTAAAATTAGGGAAGTTACGATTTTTATAATTTCAAAAATGAAAAAATCATTAATTTTTTATTTCTTACTATTTTGTTGCTAATGTATAAACGTGTAGGTCTTAGACAATAAAGTCCTTTTTAACGCTACTTATGAGTCATATAAAAGTTTCCTATATAAAAATGACTAATTTTTTGCCTAATTATCGATTTTTAAATATTAATATATTAATCTATAAATAAGTTGAATACATTTATAAATATAAANTATACAGGGTGATTTTTTTATCATAACCCACTCAATTACTTGCAAAATAATAATAATTTAAACTTTTTTTTTTTTCATTATCTTTAGTTACACATTATTCTTGAATTTTTAACTATGTAATACTTTTTAAGTTCATCCCTTATGCCTTGGAGGGGGGTCAACTTTGTTTTTTTAAATGGTAACACATATTTTTAATTTAATAAAATGTTTGAGTTTTTAATTTAATAGTAAATGGCATTTGAATTTTTAATATAACTTTATTAGCTTATTAGATATAAACATTTAAAGTTTCAAAATTTTGAGTTAATATACATGTATAATACACATGGGATTGTAAATACAGGTAGCTAATTGGATATTTATAACATCGATATTAGCAGGTACACAGCATTGTTATTATCAATTGTAGTAAGGCACATCATTATGAGTTTATAAATACACTAACTGACAATACAGAAATAATAATAAACAATCTATGACTGAGACAGCAATGTCATAAAAATCCAATTATCTACCTGTATTTACAATCCCATGTGTAGTATACATGTATATTAACTCAAAATTTTGAAACTTTAAATGTTTATATCTAATAAGCTAATAAAGTTATATTAAAAATTCAAATGCCATTTACTATTAAATTAAAAACTCAAACATTTTATTAAATTAAAAATATGTGTTACCATTTAAAAAAACAAAGTTGACCCCCCTCCAAGGCATAAGGGATGAACTTAAAAAGTATTACATAGTTAAAAATTCAAGAATAATGTGTAACTAAAGATAATAAAAAAAAAAAATGTTTAAATTATTATTATTCTGCAAGTAATTGAGTGGGTTATGATAAAAAAATCACCCTGTATAAATAAATTTTTTTTCAACTAGACAAATATCAAAAAATACAAATTAACATTAACTGTGATAATTAATGAGTAATAAACTGAAATAAAATGAAAAATAAAAGCGCGTACTTAACCCTATCAGTGAGTTAAGAGTCCAGTAAATATTGACTAACTTTTAATAAACAAATTGATAAATAAATAACTTTTTAACTAGATCTTTTTAAATAGTATCTTCAAGGGTTAAATATGACACAAAATTATGAAAAAATGTATAATCTTTACATAATATATTATATTAAACTTAAGTTCGATCATTTTATTACTATTAAAAAACGTGTAAAAATGGTCCAAAATATAATATTCATCAATCATTGGTTCATAACTATAAAATAAAATTATTTATTTCACTATTGGACTCTTACCACAGTTTATTCTATATGTCGGGCAGGTTCTGGTCCTCAATCATGTGACCAAATGAAAGTGATATGTGAAAGTGGAATAGTGGATAGGTGATATGGCTTTAGTAATGACGTCACTTTCGAACGCAACCCTAGCCGATCGTATGAAAGTAATGACGTCACACAAGTGGTAATGTAATCCAAGTGAGCGTTAGTGGTGAATTCAAAGTATCATGACGTACGTGGTCCCCTCGATTGACGTCGTTCAAGCCACTTGAGCCTTATTGCGTGCCCCCTAATTATAGTACGAGTGACGAGACTACATGTCCAAACGAGTTCCCTTCAGCGTGGATCACTACGTGTCCCCTACCGAGTACTATACAGCGGCGTGTTCTCCTCATTAAACTCATTTGCGAAATTAAGAAACAATCCTGATAAATACGACCCTATTTATCATTTAAGTGTTGAATAGTATAGAATAAAAAATAAAAATAATTATAACACTTATTAATTTCAGATAATAACAAAATGCCTATAAATGCTAATAATAATTCCTCATTATGTAAAAAATAAATGCATTCGTATACAAAATACTGCTAGACAATATGTTATATAANGTATACAAAATACTGCTAGACAATATGTTATATAAAACATATCCGACCGTTTTCGATTTACGAGCGATTTTATGTGAATACTCAGAAAACTCATTACCGTAAATATTAAGGCAAAGGGGGTCCTCGGCGTATAATCTGTCTGTAATCAATATTTATCTGGCCAAAACTACAATTTTTTTTAATTGATTTAAAATTTTGTTTTT